CTAACCTCAGAATACTCCTAACCACAATATCACACTGTTGCAGTCACCTAATACTTTACTTTCTGTAAAAGAAGTAATTCACAGCTCTTCAAGCTTGTTTACACAATAATGGTACAACTGTTCACCTTTCTTTCATTAAAAAGTGAATACTAGTGCATTTCAGCTATTAGGGTCAACTCAAGTTGAATTTGTGAAGGGTACAGAATTTCTTAAAGTCACTGTCATTCCTTTAGGCACCTTCAAATATAGTATTAAATTGTCTGAGATCCCCACTGCACAAAACCACATGGGTCTCTGGACTTTCTCAAGCCTTTATGTCCCATAAAATCAACCTTGTATGTGTGTGCTTTCTGCTAGGAGACAATAGGTGTTTAGGGATTGAACTTAATTATAAATTACTTAATTATTAAATGACAATTTTAAAATCATTAACTAAAGACCAAGGTAATACACTGCCCTTCTGATAAAATGTAATGCCTTAATCAAGACAAAATATAGACTTTCCTGGATGACTCTCCAACAATAACTTTTACTATAGACACTTTAGAGACATTCTGATAGGAGACGGGGAAAGATATTTTGATAGACACATTCTTTCAATTATGCCACTTAAGTAAGTATCTGCCTACATGTTAATCCAATTTACATAAGAAGATTTCAAAATTATTCCTCTCCATTCATTTTTATATTTCCTATCCAAAAAACTGTTTTGAATACCGGAAGGAGTATTAGATTTCGTGTATCTTTAGTCTCATACTGATTGCAAATTTTTGGTCAAATTACTCAAAGATTGTAACTTGATATTTCCTTGTAAATGGAATTAATGGCCCTAGGAGTATGTGCATTAAGACAGTAAAGAAAGCAAATTCAAAATACAACATGCCTACAGGAGTTAAGAGCACATATAAATAAGTTTCAGTCAGGAAAGAGACATTAAACACAAACTGAGATATTTTGAGAACACTTTATATGGTAGCCAGCCTCCAAAATGGACTGCAATGATCTTTGCCTCACAGTATTCATGCCCTCGTGTAGTCACCTCTCACACTGAATAGATGTGTTATCCAGTGAGGCCAATAGGATGTTATGGAAATGGCAGTGTGATTTCTTAGGTCAGGTCTTATGACATTGTGCCTTCTACCTTGCACTCTCTTCGATCAATTACTCTGGGGAAACTGGCTTCCATGTTGGGAAAATACTCAGACCAGCCTATGGTGAATTTCGTGTGGCAAGGAACCAAGGTCTCTTGACAACAGCCAGCATCAACTTGCCAGTCATGTGAGTCAGTCGTTTTGGAAGTCGACCGTCCATCTCCAGTCAGGCCTTCATCTGCCAACATCATGACTGAAACTCCATGAGAATCCCTAAGCCAAGACTACCTGTCAAGAATTGTCAAAGGTTTAAGATTTTACCCCACTTGCCAACTAACATATTACCCTGCCTCATTTTCATGGATACTTGCAAGAGACACAAGATTCCTGGGTCAGAAACAAAGAACTTTATCTTTCAGAGCAGGTACATTAATCAGATTATTAGCTCTCTTTTGAGCTGGGTTTGAGTCTTAATTCCCACAGAGCAATGTGAATGGGGCCAGGTAACACTTGCATACACACTGAATTGTATTACATGAGAGAAATCCTGAGTTTAGGAAACCCAAATTTTTTATCACAGTCACTAAGGATGCCTATACTTTGTTCAGGTAAGAGAAAGAATTATCTATCTGCCAAGGGAAGTCATTCTGCAAATATAATTGAAAAGATAGCTCAGAATTAAGGCAACCAATGTCTTTTCTCTCAATAAATGCAGATACGTGAGGGACTCGCGGAGAATTGTTTCTCAAACCTACCCAGCCAAATCACTCCTAAATTCCTGACCCACAGAAACAGTGACATAATGATTTATTACTGTTTTAAGCTCAGAAGTTTAGAGGTAATTTGTTACATAGTAATAGATAACAAATATAATTTATTATAAAAAAGAAAAGCTAATTAGAAAGTAGTAATTATCAAGTAACAACTAATTGCTGAGGAGTATTCACGGACTCTAGGACTAGCAGCAGTGGCATGGTTACCACACTGAAGTGGAAGAGATGATGGGAGGAAAAACTTCCTGAAACCAGTGGGGAGCAAAAGTCACATATGGCAGGCTATCACACAAGGAGGGACAACCTTTAGTTAAAACAGGTGACCTCACATGGAGTTTAGCCAGGTGAATAAACGCCCTAACCTGTCTCTCTTATTTCTTTCCCATTTCCCCAATGGCTGAAAATAAATAGAAACCAGGGAATGGAAGCCCTGCTGATGGTATCCATACAGATAAGCCCCCAGGCAGAGAAGAATAGAAAGTGAATGGGGATGGTGCGTGAGGGCAGACAGAAAATATCTGGCACAATCTGGCAAATAAATGAGTTCATGCATACCTCCTCTAAAAAGGAAAGGTCCTCCTCAGCAGTAAATGATTGTTACTTGGTTATTCAGTTTGAAACGCAAGAATTTGACAGGCATGGGGTTAGGACCGGATTCCATGGAGGGAGGGACTTGAACAAAAGGCAAACTGAATTACCAACTGCATGGAGGATCTTTGCCCAGGCGGTCAGCAGCAGAAAGCCTTATTGCTTGAATTCACTGAAGTCAAGACCAGCAACACTTCTCATGCCCATAGCGAGTATCAAAGCCAAATGTGGAGACATTAGATTCTCTGAACTCAAATTTCAACAAGTCTTGGGAGCCATGACTTGCAGATAATTAAAATTCTTCTGCATGTTGTAATTGGATTTGGGCTCCCAATAGTCAACTTGTGGTATAGGTGAAAGTGTGTTGTAAATTATCACAAAGAATGCAAAATAAAGTGGAACACTGTGAATCTTATTTATAAAAAGATAATTTGTCAATTATAAAAATCATTTTAAGCAGTCAATGGCTTTGCATGATTTCTAGAAATTCAACTACACTGGATTTTTAACTAGTGTTTGAATTTAATCGAGACTCACCTGTATCCACAATTATACTCAGAACAAGAGATTTTGATAGATAAATCTATCAAAATTTACTAAGGTTTTAAAAGGTTTACTAAAATTTAAGTACAAAGTAGAAATCATAAAATTCTCTATGAAACAAATGTTTTTGTTTTGTTTTTAAAGATTTTATTTATTTATTTGACAGAGAGAGAGAGAGAGCACAGGTAGGCAGAACAGCAGGCAGAGGGAGAGGGAGAAGCAGACTCCCCGCTGAGCAAGGAGCCCGATGTGGGGCTCGATCCCAGGACCCTGGGATCATGACCTGAGCCGAAGGCAGACGCTTAATGACTGAGCCACCCAGGCGCCCCTGAAACAAATGGTTTTATCACTCTGACCAAGAATTTAGAAAAAATATATCTGTTTTTAAGTCTTTTTTTAAAGATTTTATTTATTTATTTGAGACAGAGAGGGAGTGAGCACAAGTAGGGGTGGGGCAGAGAAATAAGCAGACTCAGATCCTAGGACCCTGAGACCATGACCTGAGTCAAAGTCAGATGCTTAACTGACTTAGCCACCCAGGCACCCCTTTAAATTCTTTGTTTCAGTTAAAACATTACTAAGTTCACTTATAAAAAGGAAATAAAACTTTTAATATAAAATGGGCTTTAATCTGTCAATGAAAACACTAGTATACCAAGAAAATAACAGATGAGAAGATATCAACTAACAATTCATAGAATAAACTGAACCAGACAATAAGCACAAAAACAATGGTCAACACACTAAGAGTCAAATAAATATAAAAGAGAAAATATAAAAATTTCAATTAAGTTTCTGGTTTTGGACTATATGTTGGTATAGACTTTCTAGAATACTCTTGGGCAATATGTAGTGAGAATTTTTTTTTAAGTTTATTTAATTTGATGTAGGAATTCCATTTACAGAAATTTATTTTGGGGGCACCTGGGTGGCTCAGGCTGTTAAGGGTCTGCCTTCAGCTCAGATGACAATCTCAGGGTCCTGGGATCTAGTGCCATGGTGGGCTCCCTGCTCAGTGGGGAGTCTGCTTCTCCCTCTCCCTCTGCCCCTCCCCCCGCCCTCTGCAGCTCGTGTTCTCTGTCTCAAATAAATAAAATCTTTAAAAAAAAGAAATTTATTTTAAGGAAATAATCAGAGAGTTGAGAAAATACTTATGCATAAAGATGCACATCAAAGATTATTTTACATTATCAAAAGTATCTGGAAGTATCTCAGTGACCAGCTACAAAAATGATAAATCAAATTCTCTTACAAAAATTATTCTGAATAATATTTGACAATAGAAATCAGATTTAAAAAAGATAAATAAAATAAAATGAGATATTTAAATGGATTCTTATAATTTGGAGATGATCTCACAAAGTGATAATGAAAACAAAATAGACAACATCATATGATTGTATGATGTACACCAGTATGATTGCAAGTATATTAAATATTCATGTATATATGACTGAAAAAATATGCCAAAATTATTTATATTTATATTAGAAGAGGATACCTCTGTGTGGAAGGATTATAAGTGATACTATTTTATTCTTTATACTTTCTGTATCTCTCGGTCTCTTCGGTAATTATAAAAATTATGAATTTTTAAAATGTTATTGTCTTCATTTCTAAAAAACCCAAATGAGCAAATATTGGCCAAGTGAACAACATAAATGCACACTAAGATACATCCTATGGACTGTCAAAACAACATTCCTCTAACCTACCATTAATAAAGGGGCTTTATAATAAAAATGACTGTGTATTTTTTATCTGACTCTATTCCAAAAGTAATCAATCATATCTGTGGCTTTTCACCACAAACAGCAGAATACATATACTGAATGCATATACTATTTTTATTCTTGCAACTTTTCTGTAAGTTTGATACTATTTATAAATAACTTTTTTTTTGAAAAAACTTTAAAAAAGAAAGTGTTCAATTATCCAAGGAATACTTCCTATTTTGTATATCTGATCCATTAATAACACAAGGCATAATATGCTCATCTCTTACCTGAATTGTTTCAATAGGCTCTTCACTGTAACCACTGTCCGTCTCATGCCCTCATTTGTTTTGTTTATTTCCCACCTTGACTTCCAGGTTACCTGTGGAAAAAGAAACAAAAACAAAAATTAAACAAACATAATTTATTATTTCTTGCTCTCAAAATTTCTTAGCATGGCTGGCATTCAACGTTCCTCAGAACAGTCCTCAATTGGCCTCTTTGTGATTTTCTATATGTGCTGTGCATTTTCCTACCGCCTGCATCTGCTCTCTGCTCCTGATGCGCTGGGAAGCTCATGGAACTCTGTCTGTACTTCTAATGTTGCATTTAGTTCATTTTGCCATTTTTCCCCTCCTTATTCTGTTTTGCCCTTTATACTGCAGGCAGTTAAGATATTTTTTCTTCAGTTTTATAAGAATTGGAGATGATCTCACAAAGTGATAATTTAGTTCATTTTGCCATTTTCCCCCTCCTTATTCTGTTTTGCCCTTTATACTGCAGGCAGTTAAGATATTTTTTCTTCAGTTTTCTATCTCAGCAGGATTTTCTAGAGCGTTTTGCATATACTGTGCTCTCATTGTTGAATGAAAAAAAAAAAAAAAGGCCAGTTGTTGATCAAACTCAAAGTTCTATTTCCATGTGTCCAAAACCTTGATCCAGGAGTTATTTTCTTCTGCATTGCTCTATACCAATGTGGTGTCTGTGATTCTATACCACCTTCCCATAACTTTATGACCCTGTCACCTCCTTCAAATATTCTAATTGTGACTCTAGGATAAGATATTAGCTCACGGACTCTTTCAAAATATTTTCTATGTACCCATTTTCTTAAATGTGGATGAAAGGAACTGAAAAATAATCAGCTTCTTCATAAATCCTTTTTCCCCCTTCTTTCTCTCAATAACTGATTATGGTGTAACTTCTATATTCCAGGAATTGTGCTAGGCACCAGGGAATATAGCTATCAGCAAGGCAAAGACAGTCCTTACCATGATTGACTATTTAGATTGGCAGCAGAAGCAGATGTGAGAGAAAGATTTACAGAAAGAATTAACTTTTTCATTCATTGCAATTGTGGTAAGTGGTAGGAAGCAATACACTCTGTTACAGGAAGGTTTATTTGGAAAACCTATCAAATCTGGGTAGTCAGGAGAGTCCTTCAAAAGAAGCTCACATTTAAGCTGAGATTTATAGAATGAATAGCAATTAATGCAATATAAGCCAAGGAGGAATTATCCCAGCTAGAAAGAGCAGTATGTACAAAGGCCCTGAGGTTAGAAAGGACATGAAGAAACTGAAGAAGGCAATATGGCTAGAGTACAAAGAGGGAAGAGGCTTTATCCAAGAGAGATGAAGTTGTTAATACCTCCCAGAGAGTCTCTATTACTGCTATTAAAGATGAGTAACGGATGCAGTAACACAACAATGATCGTAGTATTCTAGCTGACTTCTACTTGTGCAGTATGACAAATGAGAACTGAGAATTCAGAATCATCAGGACATCTCTGCAGTTCCACATCCTTGACTCATTCTGTTCAAAGTTAATGGGACAGAAGTGGGTGAGAACAGTTTTCTAATATGTATCTTCCATCTTGAGTGAAAAAACTCTGTTAATGGATTCTTTATAAAGAACTCAGAGCAATGGACTTAGAATCCTTCACTTGAACTTTAAAATGTTTTCATTAAAAACGAAAGTACTGCTTAACGCTGTCTCTCCCTCTGTTCTTCCCCTGCCTCTCTCTATCTCAAATAAATAAATAAATCTTAAAAAAAAAAAAAAAAGGAAGCAGTAGAAGAAACAGGAAAGTCAGAGAATTAAAAGATAGAGATCTTTAGGGGCGCCTGGGTGGCTTAGTCGGTTAAGCGTCTGCCTTTGGCTCAGGTCATGATCCCAGGGTCCTTGGATCAAGCCCTGCATGGGGCTCCCTGCTCAGTGGGGAATCTGCCTCTCCCCTTGCTTGTGCACTCTCTCTCTCTCTTGCTGAGTCAAATAAATAAATAAGATCTTAAAAAAAAAGAAAAGAATCATGGTAAAATCCAAGCAAGTATTGGCCACTACACAAATAAGATTGTAACTCAGGCAACTAAATTTGATTAAAAGAAATATTTTCTCTTAGTATGCTTCCTATAAGCATTTAATTCTCTCAGTTTCTTTACAAATTCCAGAAAGTTCATAGTTTCTTTAAAACTTGATAAATATATTAATATTAGCTTGCAAAAACTGTTTGAAAGGGAAGGCTTTCAAAAATATAACAGAAAAGTGCCAATCATCAAAGGGTCTCACCAATACAGAATGTCTCATTAACATGAGAGACCCAAAAACTCATAAAAGATACCCCATTCAAAAATAGAAAGGATGCTTTTTGAAAGATATGGTTGTTTTTCCAGTGAAGCGCCCCTTGATTAATAATTTTCCACGTAGATATCTTTGAAACCGCAAATAAAAAAATTATAGCCATAAATTCTACAATATAGTAGAATGCAATATAGCATTTAAGTTAATATGTTTGAAGAGTCATTCTTTGATTCAGTGTTTTGATGTTTTCTATACAGAATACACTTTTTAAGAGAGTGAAAATACATTTAAGACTAGTGATCCAAAAAACATTTGCTAATCTTGAAAATAAAGTTATTCCAGCAACACTGTCATTTATAATGATATTAAATATGTGTATTTGTCAGGTCACATAAAAATTGCAGATTGGTGGAAATTCAAACTGATAACCAGCATCTTTCTCCTGTGTGGAAAAGCCTGAGAAAAGATGGAGATGTTTGGCCCTGGAAACAACACATCCCTGATTTCCTTAGCCTGCGTGCAACTCCAAGCAAATTTGGATAAATAAGGCTCCACTCATCCAGATAAACACCCAGGTTACAGCTAATTTGAACACCTAATTAACAGACTATGCACAGGACAACCAACAATAGAGCTATATGATTTTTGTTCACCTCTCTTTTTCTAAGACCTTATTTGTATTCCTGTGCATAGGAAACACATGAGTGCTGAAGATCAGGCCATGAAGATTCAGGCTTGTTGAAGAGAGAGGAGAGAGGAGGAAGGGGAAAGCCAAAATAAAAAAGGAAGGAATAGAAAGGAATAATGGAATGAATAAATTATGGCTAGAAAGACAATGATAAAATATAGCCATGAGGAAGATAAGAAAATGAAGAGAGGAAAGTGTGGGGAAATGAAATATAGCTGTTGAATCAGAAGTTCAATTAAGTGCGTTTCAATGAATAGTCTTCCATTGTCTTTGAGCTCCAAATTTGTCAAATTCACAGTAATTTAACTAAGAGAATGAGGTGAAAAGAGGTTTAATAAAGTTTGACACACATTTTAAACATAATATCACTTCCAAACGCAGCATCTAAGCAAGCAACATTATGCTTATAATATTCAGAAATAATACAATTCTAATTCACACATATCATTTAAAATGCACTATATTTCTTTTCTGAAAAACTGATGGATGCAGGGGGAAATTGAGGTGGAGACGAACCATGAGAGACAATGGACTCTGAGAAACAAACTGAGGGTTCTAGAGGGGAGAGGGTGGGAGGATGGGTTAGCCTGGTGATGGGTATTAAAGAGGGCACGTATTGCATGGAGCACTGGGTGTTATACACAAACAATGAATCATGGAACACTACATCAAAAACTAATGATGTAATGTATGGTGATTAACATAACAATAAAAATATTAAAAAAAACCCTGATGGATGCAATAGAAACATACAAGATAATGTCATGTTTCCATACCTTAGCTTCCTCAGATTCTTTCTTCTCAGGCTAAGTTAGCTTCTACTGAACCCATCATTTTATAACATTTATGTCTAGAGATCTAGCTGTCTACTCTAGCTGTCTAGAGATCTACTGTCTACTATTTTTTTTAAAGCTTTTTATTTAAGGAAAGATTTTATCCCAAGTTTTAACGATGAATTCCAGCTTTTCACTAAAGTACTTGTTCCTGAGCTCTGGGATATAAATGAAACTCTTTTCTTCTTAATATGAAATGGGTCAATGGTTAGAGAAAAACAACTCAAATTCAAGCTATAGATGTGGACTTCGATTTTTCACAATTATTTTGATTCTACTCTGAGGCATGCCTCTTACTATGTAAATTTAAAAGTCAATGTGGGATATATTTTATTTTCTAAGAATTCCTAAGGAAGTGGGAAACAAGTTACAACTTGCCACATTATGATAAGTACATGAGTCAAGTTCAGTATCCTCTTAGCTTCCACCCACCCTCATCAACTTCCAGATGCACATTCTACTGCCAAAGCCGCTCCACAGCCTCTATTATGTGTTCCCTATAATTTAATATCTTTTGTACACTGGTTAGACACTGCTTGACACAAACATCTATACATAGTCTAGGGAAGAGACCACAGAATTCAGGGTCAAGCTGCTAATACTACTAAGTACTGCTAATTACTTTGAATATAAAGGTCTTCATTCTGGATTCTAATCCACTGCCAGAATAAATTTATTCTGAGAACAAGTCTTGGAGATATTCGAATAGCACTGCATTTATATGAACAATCCTGAAGTCCATAGCAGTCACATACTTCTAATTTACTTTTCAAAAACATAGTCTAAAATTCAATATATAGTTCATATATATGCAAATATATGTATGTATATATACAATTTAATATATATATTTAAAACAACTTCTGAAAGAGAGATGACCTTGATCTTTATAGGATACGCTTTTCCTGCAACTTGTACATATTAAATCATTACAAATGACTTTTATTCTAGGATAGAGTACACTTTATTTTCTAACATTCGTTGCTAATTTCATTCTCCCCCACATCCCACTCATTACATATCATTTGTACCATAAAACACTAGGTGTTTTAGAGAATATAAAGTAAGTTGCTTCAATTTTTCAATTTTACATAAAGGAATTGGGTAATCAAGGTGTCTGTGAGGTATTTTGGCTGTAATATGTATTCATTCATCCAATAGCATGTATTCAGCTATAACTATCCTTTCTTTGCTATTAGACATTAAAGACAAATATAGAGATAGGTAATATTTACTCAATGTTACTGTGAATGTGTGTTACATAAATTCACTCACCTAGT